AGGATGCAGGAAAGACCTCATCCCTTTCTGAGGACAGCTGTCTTCAGTGACCACAGAGCCGTAATAGAGAACTCTGTGGACAGGAGGAGATGAACATAGAGTTAGACAATCAGTGCCTTGGCTGTAGCTTCTGGTGAAGGGGCCACCATGGTCACACTGCCATGACCCAGCCAGCCATGCAACTGGCAGATTATTCTAGCAATTCCTGAGGTCCTTGTGCAGCTATGCAGAAAGTTGATGTGAGGGACAAATGAGGCAAGGCGGAGAACAAAAACAGCAGGCAGGCGCCATCTCCATCAGGATACCATCACTATCCTCTCTCTGCTCACTCAGTCAACTCAAATAGGAAGATACATCTCCAGTCTCTGGCTTGGTCTCCTGCTACCCAAAGGCAGTGACATAGTAAAGCTGGAGAGGCCCCTGCAGAACTGTGACAGCAGCTGTATGCTTCGTTGTCATATAGAATCAGTGGGCTGACTACATTGGGAGTTAAGAGGGTTTTATTGACGCTGGTGTTTCTGCTAAAGCATTCTGTTTTGTGTGAGATGGGAGAGGTAAAATCAAGGTGGACATTCTATAGCTATGTATGAAAAATGCCACTGAAAGAAAGACTTGGGAACTCTAGAGATTTGTGGGATAAAGTTTCCTAAGTACCCCTACGTCTTTATAGGAACGACCTCAACGTGGGAGGAGGGGTATATGTGCAATTGCAGAATGAGACAGAATGAAGAAATCTTCTCTTTCAGGGCCCAGAAGGCACACAGATGGAAATGTGGATTTTCGGAGTGATGTACTTCCTGTGACCTGTGGTGACGCGAAGGGGATGTTACATAAAAACAAATTGAGCCAAGGTGGGTTTCACGGTCTACTTTAATTTACAATTAATGGAGCTATTTATTGTGAATTACACATCGTTCAAGGAAGTGGGGCCCAAGTTTGGGTTGAGAGAAGGACAGAGGGATCCCTAAGATGACATTTTTCACACTTTAAGAAATAGTACTTATCAAGCGCTCAGCCCACATGGAAGTGTCCATGAAGATGCCCAAAGATCCAAACAGATGTGCAGGGATTTCAGTCTCTGGGTGAAAATATGGCATATTTTACTTTGAATCAGAAATAAAAGGGGAAGAGGCTCTTAGCCTCCACCTTCATGTCCTGTGTCACTTCTGGGTGACCATCAGCAGGGCAGGGAGCTTGGTGTAGTGACAAGACCACAGAATTTAGAATCAGATATACTGAGTCCCAGCCTCAGCTATGCCAAGAGTGACCGAGTAAAGAAGGGGAACTTTTTGAGTCTGAGAAAAGGAAATAATAAAAAACATGACAACACGGTGTGACTTTGAGAGTTAATTTACATAATGATGGCAAAGTATTTGGTGATTCTTAAATTACAAAGCTTTGCAATCATTGTCTGTTATGATGGATCATATCAGATTTCTCTTATTATGGCTATGTGAACACCAATTAATACAAATGTTTGCATCATAACTATTTTTAAACATCTTCACTGAGATATAACTCATACATGACAATTCACCATTTAGAGTGTAGAATATGTTGTTGGGTGTTTGTTTGTTTGGTGGATTCACAAGATCATACAACCACCATCTAATTTTAGAATATTTTTGTCCCCCCACTAAAAGAAACCCCACATCTCACAGTAGTCAATGCCTTTCCAAACTCACCCCACCAGTCAGCCCTAAGCAACCACTAATCTATTGTCTGCTCTATAAATCAGCATGTTCTAGGCATTTCGTATCAATTGATTCATGTAACATGTGCCTCTTTCACTCCGCATGTTTTCAAGGTTCATCCATGTACTTCATTCCTTTTATTGTCAAATAATATAATATTCCATGGTATGGATATATAATATTTTCTTCATTATTAGTGTGGGTATTTTTTACTCTTAAGCTATTATGAATAATGCTGTTTTGAATATTTGTGTAAAGTTTTTGTGTGGACATGTTTTTTTTCAATTCTTTTGGGTATAGACCCTGGGGTTGTATTCCTGGATTATATGGTAACTCTATGTTTAACTTATTAAGGAAGAAACAAACTATTTCCACAGTAGTGCAGCAGTTATATTCCCACCAGCAATGTCTGAGGGCTCCCATGTCCCCAAATCCTCACCAACACGTGTTATTGTGTGTCTATTTTATTGTGGCCATTCTAGTGGGTGTGACATAGTCTCTCATTGTAGTTTTGATATCCCTAATGAATAATATTACTAAGTTTATGACTATCTTTGGAATATAAGTTAACTTTTCTACTGAACAATGGTATGCAATTATTTTAAAGTCAACTACCCATGATTTCAGGAATGGAAAATCTCTGGTCAATAATGCCATTAAACTTGGATGGAAATGTTGTAATAGATGGCACAGATGTTACCATGATGAATCCTGAGCTGCAGGGCCCCACCTGGGATCTCAGCCGAACTCGAGCTTCTGCCTCCACATTGCCCCAGGGCCACGAGAGCCTCACCTGTTCTCTGTCCCCAGAATTCAATAGCAAATTGAAATCCTCTCATTGTTCAGACTCACTTGCTTTTCCTTGGAGGCAATTATGAAATAATTTTATAAGGTTGATTTTGATGGTAATGATCAATTTTTAGTTGCACAAAGTTCAAAGAAGTGTGCACACAAAGCTGAAATCTCCTTGGAGGAGACTTACACTCTGGGTTTGGGGATTCTAAGTCTGAAAGCGGAGGCCCTACTCTCCTGCTGTTGATCCTGAGCCCACACTGGGCGACTCCAGATCCAGGGTGGTGGGAGCTCTATGGTTAGAGGTTTCAGCACTAACTTACCCTCGTCTACAGGAGGCACGGTGAAGTCCATAATGAGAGAGGATGGAAAATGGTTCACTCCCAGAGAATTTGAAGTTGAAGGAGGCCGCAAAAAATCAAGTAACTGGAAGCAGAGTGTGCGCTGTGGTGGGAGGACCCTAAAATGGCTGATGGAGGTATTCCAGTGGCAGGGGNTCATATGTGGGATCCGAACCGGGGCCCTCTGGCATCCCAAGCCAGTTCTTAACCATCGCGCCACTTGGCCGGCCCGACAGTTTATTTTTTAAATTTCAGCCATTCTTGGTAGATTTGTAATGCTTTCTCTTGTAGTTTTAATTTGCATTTCCCTATGATTAATGGAGCTGAGCATCTCGTCACGTACTTACTTGCCATCCATAGATCTCATTTGGTGAAGTGTAGGCATATCTTTTGCCCTTATCTGTTTAGATCATCTCTTCATTTCTTTAGGTAAAAGAGTTATTTATATACTCTGGATTCAAGTCCTTTGTTGGTTGTCTTATAATCTGCGGCTTACCTTTTCATTTTCTTGGTTCACTTCATTGAAGAGCAAAACTTTTCAATGTTGATGAAGTCTAACCATTTTTTTCTTTTATAATATAATCTGTGATTCTTTGTTTCTATTTAAGAAATCTTAGTCTAACTCAAGACCCTATGTTTTCTTCATGAAGTTTTATGGTTTCGCTCTTACATTTAGATCCTTGATCAAGTTGAACTTTTGCATATGACTTTAGGTAAAGATTTGTTTTCTTTTGGTATATGGATATTTAATTGTCCCAGCACCATTTGTTGAAGACTATCCTTTCTACATTGAATGAATTGTTGTGATATCTTTTTTTGAAAGTCAACTGTCCATAGAAGTTTGTTTGTATTTCTGGACTTATTTTTCTGTTCTTTTTATCTATGTCAATCTTTATGTCAATATACACAATCTAGATTACTCTGGTTTTATGAAAACAGGTAGTAAGACCTACAATTTTGTTTCTCCTTTTCCAAATAGTTTCAGCTGTTAGGCCCTGTGCATTGAAGCTTCTTCTACCTTTCAGTTTAGCCACTTTCAAGATAATATTGTTGTTCAAGGTGCCTGCTGAGCTCCAGTCACATGTCCATGCTCTAGGCCACCCAAAGGAGAAACGATGAAGAACAAAAGATATCTTCCCCCTGAGGTCTATCCCTTTTGTGTGATGCTTTCCTAGAGTTTTCTTCCTCCCACAACAATATTTTGCTCTCACTTTCCTCTTCAATTATTAAACTGGTGGACCTGCCGACCATAAAAGAAGTTAGGAACTATAGAATTTTGTCTGGGCTGTGACATCTCCACAAATTCAGATATTCTGTTAGTAAATTAGGAATGAAAACTTATGTATGGAACACAATATGAAGACTTCATCAATTCTTTAAAATTTGTTGAAAGTCCCTTTGGAACCAATATGTGATCAATATTTGTAAATGTTCTAGGTCACTTTAAAATAGCATACATTTCATCTATTTGTTGGGTTCTGGCTTCTTCCATAACATCCTGTTTTTCAAGCACAGCTTTGTTGTTTAAATCTACTGGTCCATAGTAAATTAGGTTATATTTGTTCATCAGGCTCCTACAGAGATGTGTTCAATTCTCCCACATGACTTTGTATTTGCCAATTCCTCCTTTTACAGTTGTTTTACTTTAAATATTTTGAGGCAGTTCATGACTGGTATAACTTAGTGTGTTTCTTCTTTCATCCTTACAGACTGTTCCTCTTTATCCTTATTCATCCTTTTTTCTTTCAAATCTCTTTTTCAGGGTGCTAATATTGTTACATTAACTTTTCTGCTTTATGTTCTTTACTCCTTTTTCATTAAGCCCTCCTATGCAGCTTTGTTTCATGGCTCTTATAAGAACACAGCTTTTTGTAATCTTCTCTGATAATCCTAATCTTTTGGCAGTTAAATTTTATTGGTTACTTTGATCATAATTCCCAATATATGTGGACCTTTATATTCCGTATTATTGCCGACCATTCTTTTTGCGGGTTTTTGTGTTTCTTTCCTGCTTTCTGATAGATTGAGATAGAATTCTACATTCCAACTTTTGTCGCCGCTGGTTTGGAAATCGGAGATAACATTTCTGTAATCTCTTTAATGATGATGCCCTAACCTCAAAAGATAAAACAAGGATCTTAACATGAATTCCCTCATATTGAACACCCCATCTTTATCATTAAGCTATTGTTGTTTAACATTTTATTAATTTTTCTTTAATTATAATTTTTGAAACTATTATCATTTTGCAATTAATATTTACTGAAACTAATTCTTCATTATTTTATGATCTGATTTTTTTTCCCCCTTTGGTTTCACTTATTGTCTACCTGAATTCATACCTGTTTTTTTCAGTCAGGGTATCCAAATGGCAAACCTGCCAAGTGCTATATGTGCAAATTTGCCTTTGTTTCTATAGAATTTTTTAAATCAAGATTTAAAAATTCGGGGTCAATGGTTATTTCTCCTCCATGTAATAATGTGATCACTTCATTGTCTTCTAGAATCTATTGCGTGACTGATGAATAGTCTCTTTTATTGTAACTGACATTTTTTGGTTAATAAGGTTTTGTCACCCAAATCACTTTTCTGCACTATTGAATTATGAAAGTTTTAAAAGTACAGAAAACTTGGGAAATTTTACAGTAAATAAACATTGATTCACAATTAACATGTGCTGTTCTTCCTTTATCACATTTCTGTCCATGTATCCATTTGTCTTTCAATATACTAACCATCTTCAATTTTGAAATATTTCAAAGTTGCAGACATTAGTTCACATACCCCGAAACATGTCAGCATGCATATTATTAACTAGACTTCAATATTTGTTTGCAGTAGTTTTCTTTGTCTTTTGAGATTAAATTTACAGTGAGATGTGCAAGTCTGAATAGTTGTGATTAAAGTATTCTTGTACTATCCAAATCTTTATCAAGACACAGAAATGACCATCACCCTGGAACTTAAGGAATCTCCCCTGGAGAGAGGAGGGGGACTTTTCTATCCTGGAACATTTCAGGAGAGAGGTGTTCTCTGTTTTATACTGGACAGGAAACAGCAGTAACCCTTCCAGCCACATTCAAGGCGGTTTGTTATCCTAACATCTTTGAAAAGATAGTGTGAGGCATGTGTCAATGCCACAGAAAATCACCTCCCAACCAGTTCACCTCACACAGCATATTCTGGCAATTTCCCCATGAGAACACTACTCTACCCACCACTCTGAAGAATCTGACCAGTGGAGGCTGGGACCAAATCCATTTAATTTGTTTCCTGCCACATTTAACAAATATCATGAACCATAATTCTTTTTGGTCTCCAGTGATCACGACCTAAATGTAAGTCACCGTGTTGGCATCAGAGGCAAGTGAATGTGGTGCCCATAAAAGGGAAGCATTTACAATTGTTAAGGTCTCTAAGGAGACATACATCAGCTGGGGGGAACATGGACAGTGCCTTCAGCGTGAGCTCCTGGCCAAGTTATAAGCCTTAGAGCTTTCAGTTCTGTTTATTGTGTCTAGTCCTTGATGACAAACTGCCTGAGGACAGTCCATCCAATCTGTCCTCTCTGTACATGACAACAACCAGATGGCATTTCTCCTCCTACAACCCTTCACCAAGTGACTGAGAATCAGTGTGGGGGCAACGTCCAGAGGTATTCTGCATGAAATGTGCAGATGTGGGCACCACCTTCTATTTCCTTTTATCTGATAAAAAATGGCAGCCTTGGCAGCTTTGTGGTGGAAGAGTTATACCAGGGCATTTTTCTTCTGGAAGAGGGATTGAGGGCAGTTCTGACAGATGGACATCATTAGTGCTCCTCCATCTCCCATACCTTCTAGGTGTTTTCTCCTCAGTTACCTGGATTTTTGCTCTTCCCTCACTGCCACGAAATCTGTATGTACCAGGTTTCTTCTTTCCCAATTATCTGCTATGCTCACTCAGACTTTTCACCCAGAAGGGTGAGGTGCAAGCAGGTCAAAGGAATTTCCATAAAATAACTAAAATTGAATCTAAATCCTATCGGCACTTCGAGGTTGTGCCCTCCACAGTGGCTGGGGAAAGAATACGGCATCATTACCATCGATGGTCAGAGCAGAATCTGGAAATTTCAGAATTGGTCTATATAACACCATTTATCATCCACCGCTTCTGGACTGATCAGGATGCAGGAAAGACCTCATCCCTTTCTGAGGACAGCTGTCTTCAGTGACCACAGAGCCGTAATAAAGAACTCTGTGGACAGGAGGA